CCCTACACTCTGGCAAGGGGGGTCAGAAGATACAGAGTGACTTCAGGTCCCTTTTGCTAGTCAGGCTCCTGTGTTCTTTTCAGTCTGTAAAGTACTATTAGATTCAGCTTGTTTTAACTGATGGGTTACAGCTTGTTTGGGCCCGTGAAGGCAAAACCATTGTTGGGTTGTTGTACCTGAACAGAACATGAATCTGTTTGATACCAGAAAATGCTGTTACTCTCTGTACAAGCTCTGAGTACATGAACTACTGACAGCCTGCCTGAAAATCTCCGAAGCAAAAGAGGAACATAAAAAGTGTTGCTCCTTCAGTGGCTGTGAATTTATTTCTCACTCGCTTGTAGCAATTTATGTACACTCAAAAGTTATTTGAAAACAGTAAAACTTCAGTGGTTTCCTGAAGCTGGTGTGCTGACAGGTGGTGGAGCTCCTCAAGAGCCCTTGTTGGTGCTGCTGTAACAGCCTGCTATTCAGGTTAGAGGCTGGTCCCCTCTCTGGGGGCAGTTTGCAGCACCAGCAATGTTAGCAGCTCTTAGAGTGAGACCAGAGGAGGCCATCATGATGATTGTAGGGCTGGAGCAGCTCTGCTCTGGAGACAGGCTGGGAGAGTTGGGGTGTTCAGCCTGGAGAAGAGAAGGCTCCAGGGAGACCTTAGAGGAAGGGGCTACAGGAAAGCTGGAGGAGGGGCTTTAGACAAGAGGAAGGAGTGACAGTTTTTAAGCTGAAAGAGGAGATGCAGGTTAAATTCTTTGCTGTGAGGGTGGTGAGACCCTGGCCCAGGTTGCCCAGGGAAGCTGTGGCTGCCCCATCCCTGGGGGTGTTGAAGGGCAGGTTGGATGGGGCTTGGAGCAGCCTGGGCTGCTGGGAGGTGTCCTTGCCTACGCAGGGGGGTTGGATCTAGATGATCTTTAAGGTCCCTTCCAACCCAAACCATTCTGTGATTCTAATGCTGTGTTTTGTAGTCACTGAGCGTGCAAAGAAATGCTGAAAAGCAGTGATGTTCTTGATCCTGTTGGAATCTGGTGCTTCAGGCAAGCAGAGAGAGTGATGGCTGTTGTGATACCAGTCTTGGGTACGCGAGAAGGTGTAGGATCAGGTACAAGCATGGCTCCAGAGAGGTACAATGAACTGAAGTGCACAGGACTTGTGCCTTGGAGACAGCTCTTCTGAGAGATCCAGCAGGTTGTAGCAGTTTTGAAAATCAAAAGCATTTTTACTGTGTCTGAAAACACTCACTTTTCAGTCTCTGAAAAGCTATTTAATGGAAGAGGAGATATGGGAAAGCTTTCCACATCAGTGGAAACAGTCACCTTTTGGACATGCTTTATGTATGAAAACAATATGTTAAAATGCCTTTGAACTTCAGTTTAAATGTTTTTTAACTTCACTGATCTGACATGGCAAACTTACTGTGTCCTAGTGTATTTTATCTGACATCTGTTTAGGCTTCTGTTTTATAAGTTCCTGCACATTTCAGTTTGAAGTGCAGCATTTTTAAGATAACACTGATCTCTTGTGTAATCTTTTGGAGGAACTCACTGAGATACAAGTGGACAAACCAAAACTTTCATGGAAGTTTTTTGAGAATGTTGAGAATGGTAAATCTTGGCTTTTTGAAAGAACACACTATTAACAGTATGGTAAAACTGTGTTACTGGTGACAGGTGTTCTTAAAAACAGTCAGTGCAATATTAAGGCATCTGCTGCCATTGCCTTTGTCAAATAATCCAGAAGTAGGCACAGAATAGTCTCAAAAATTAAGATTTTACTTTGTACCATGTGTGTAATCACAAAGCTTTGGTGTTACTGTTCAAATACTATATTATAAAATGCCTCTTGCACAGGCATCTCATGTACTCGTTTAGAATGCAAACTTTTTCAGAGTGTTTCACAATGTCTTGATTTCAAGTAACTGCAATAAAAGGTGTTTAAAACATTTTTCTGGTGTCCATGAGCTGAGGTGGTGTTGTACCTGTATTGGCTGAGTTCAGGGCTGTAGTGAAGTGAGTGTGTACAGTGTGTGTTGGGATTACAGCAAATACACCTTCAGTGGCTGTGAAAGAGCAAAGAGACAGAACAGATATGGTTGTTTAAAACTGGAACTTCTCTGTGTATTGATGATGGAGAAATCTCTTACCCTTCCATGAAAAAACTTGATGGAAATTATTCCCAGATTTAAATTATACTAAAATACCAGCATATGTTTTCCTCTGCTTGCATCCTTGCATTCAGCTTGAGATTATAGTTGGCAGTTTCCTTGGTTTATCCCCTTGAACTTGTATAATACATGTTGGGGTGGGATGCCTTGTTGTGTAAGGGAGGAAGTGGGTAAAAGAATTTATAAGGAAAAATTTGAGGTAGTATTTCTCAATTCTGCATTTTCAGCACTTGGGAAGCATAATTTTGAATGTCAGGTAGATGGGGCAGGACACCAGTGTATGCTGGTGTGCAGCTGAACTGTTGTGAGTTCGAAAAAAACTGTGATCCCTTTGGATATTTTTTGCCACAATTCCTGCTCGCCTCTGACTTCCCAATGCAAATACTGCTGAGCATTTGTAATTTAGGCTTAAATTGGGGAGAATTCCAGCCTTGTGTAATACCTGCATGTCAGTGAGACTGGTGTGATGTGTGGGCTGTGGGCTTTTCCTAAGCTTGCTTAACTGGATCCAAGCTGTGGGAACACTAGTGGGTTCTGTTACCTACTCAAAGCCTCTGGGAGAGTTTGTGCTTTCCTGACACTGGCACTTGGGTCAGCACTTGAGTGAACTGAGGTAACTCAGGAACAGGCAATCCTGGAGTTTGGAGGTGGAGCCAACATTATGTTGGTGTCTGAAAACCTACATTTCTGAGCATGGATTTTGTATAATTTAGTTAAAGCCATCTCATTTAACATCAGAATTTCCAGATATGGACCTGAGTGAACATCCAGGTACCACAAGCAGGTGTTTTTATTGCAGAAAACTCTTCAAGAACTCTACAGGGTCTTTTTGAGTAAATCTGTCACCTTAAATCCAAGTGCAAAAATCCTTGTTTCCCTATTTACATTAAAAATGTTATGAATGGGTGGTCTCAAGAGTTTTACAATCCATAGATCGTATCACAGATACATCTTTTGTAGTTAAAAATGGATTTATGTTTTCTTGTACATGCATGTCTCCCTGGTGGGACCATGCCCTCCACTCCTATGCTGCTGTATGGCCTGAGGGGGAGCAGCAGGGCCTGGGCTTTCACCTGGTAAGGGTGTGCAGCAGGTGACAGAGGCCCTTTGGGGTGGGATCTAAAAACGTCTCAGAAAGTCACCAGTGACTTCCTGCCCTTGGCAGGGGGACTCATGGAGGAATCTGAGCATGCTGTCCTAAAACTGATGGGTGTTGGAGGCTGAAAGTTGAGTTAGCTTATTTTGTGAGTAATTACCAAGGAAGCAGATAGACATCTTTTCAAATAGTAATAATTGTATGTCAGGCACTTATGTTCTCAGGTTGCTGTGTGAATTAAAGATCAGATGAAATACTGTCTTTGAGTAGTTCTTGGAATGTCAAGTAATGTTTCAGGCTCAAAAATCATAACGTTGTGAACATGTCATGATCTGTGATTATTGATGCTGTATCTATTTATTACACCAAGCATCTACTTTATGTAGTTGAGTGGATTCTGGACACACTGGAAGTGCTTGGATGCTGTTCTTCTGTAGATGAGTTTGAGAAGATCATTTATGCAAAGTGTTCTTTGTTTCATGCCTTAGATATTGGAAGACAGGCTTTTGAAAATAAAGGAAAAACATTTTGGGTGCCAAAATGATGAATAGGGACACTTTTTTTGTGAGCTCAAGAGAAACAACAGAAGATTTCAGGAGAAATAAGACCAAAGAAAGGTTAACTAAGGAGGAAGCTAGCCCAGTAGTGTGAAGTGATCCAAAGCACAGTGTAAAAATTGTAACCTGGGCTAAGCAGAAGGCTGTATTTATAAGTGGATTGTTAAGAGAACAGATGTATTCCCAAGCAAGCACTGACTCCAAAATGGCTCTTAGAATTTTGAGACTGACTGAACCAGTAACATTAGACCCCATGGATCAACTTCACATCTCTGTGAATAGATGGAAATGGATTTTTGTTATTGCTGTCCAAAATCAGCCATGCAGTTACCCCAGGATACATAAAATTTACATTTGCAGTTCAAGAAATATAATAACAAATGAAATGCCAATGGAAGCATCATAGAACATATGTTATAAAGACTCAATGTGTTTAGTTTAACAGCAGGTGAAGGAATAATTTGATCTTCACTTAAGATTTTTGTGGAGACCAGTCAGTAGAGGCTAGAAGTCTCATCGGTTTGTGCTGCAGTTGCAGCCAGGCCAACTTTGGAGGAACACATTACCAGCTGTGTGCACTGATGACTTTCTGGGACAGCTCAAACCAATATCTTGGGGACTCAGAAGCTTCACACTTAACTGCTAAATGGGTCATAGCTTGAACCTGGGCTAATCCAGCACAAAAAGTAGTGTGAGAAGTTGCTGACTTGAAGGCTGAAGGAATGATTTCTCTGTAATGGAAGTTAAGGGAGACACTGTTGTTTGACTTTGAGTTTTTGTCCTTAATATTGTAATGGCTAATTGCATGCCAGGCAAGGAGCTTTATTGTTGGTTATAAGCATGGAAGAAATAGCAGGTGGTAGGTGTACCATGAACTGTATACTCAAACACCCACCAAACTCCTCTGAAAAGGCAAGTGCCTGAAAATCTGAAGCTGATACAGCAAAACTTTCTCCACAGAAACCAGTTTAGTACCATACATTTTGAGCAAAATGTATGTATGTGTAATGTATGTATGTCTTGTGATGCTGGTGTCAAGAGTTGGGTTCAGCGTGTTGGCTGGAACACCAGCTCTTCAGGGGCTCTCCTGGGTGGTGGGGTTGGGCACTGGTGTCCTTTTGTGCCCTGGCAGTGAGAACTTCTATTGTGTTATTTGTAAAGAAGGAAAATGCCCCCAAGTGTGGTGGTGATGGTAATAATTTAAACTTTGTTCCAAACTCTGTGAGATTGTCTTGTGTTTTTATTACTCTGAATAGATCCTTTTTGCACATCACAAAGTTTTTGTCTGCTTTCCTTCCCTTTAGCCTGTGTCTTTGTTACCTCTGTTTCTAAACCTCAGCTGACATGACCCTGTGCTTCTCTTCTAACTTGTAGCTGATCAGTTAGAAGCTATTCCCTTTGTCTTCTCAGGAATTTATCCATCTCAATGAAGGAGAAGTGCTCCTAGGTTGGGTATAGGGCCTCATCAAGTGATGGTATAATAGCTTTCCTTGTCATCTTTGTGATATTTTTGGCTAGATCTTCAGACCCCTTTGCCCCTTCTACTGTAATTAAGTTTTCTCATCTTCATGTTCATTGATAAACAGAAACAAGTTTGCTTTCCTTGTCTTGAATGCTGATGTTCAGCTTTAAAGTCAAGAGACCCTTTCTGCACTTGCTTTCTCAAAGCTCCCAGGCCATTTCACTGACCATTCCTGAAATATTTCTTATTCTTTATGAATGCAGCTTTTCCTGGTGTGCAGATTTCAATTTTGGTCTTGGCAAACTTTGTCATTTCTGCAGGTGTGATCCAGTTGCCTGGTGTTGCTGTAGTCTTATCGTAATTGCAGCAGCAGCAGCCCTATCAGAGCAGTCTTAACAGGGCTGTGTCAAAATGGCTTTCTCTTTCTCCTTGTTGTTTTTGTGAAACATCCAAAAGCTATGTCTTAATGTTTGCAATTTTCTTCTCAAAATTAACAGGATAGTCTTTTTTTAGCCAGTCTGTGTATGTAACTTCTTAACCCTTCCCTGTAAATCAGCCTCCATAGTACCCATGTTTTTTTCTCTATGAATGAGTTTTGTTTTTGTCATGACACAGTACTTAAAAATGGAGTATGCTTCATATGCAGCTATCTAGGATGCTTTTCTTTGCTATGACATAACCTTGAACTGCGCAGCTCAGTAACACCGTTTTTGTTGCTACATGATTAAAAATTTCTGAACAATCTGTTCCGTGTTCTTACACAAAGATAGTGTTGACACTGCCTTTAACACTCCTGTGTGTTCCTGCATTTGTGAAAAGTCCTACTCTTTCTGCACTTACTGTTGTCTGTAAGGTTTCTAAGTCCTTTTGTGTTCCTCATCTACAACTACTTCTAATAAAATGCCTTAATTCATTCATGTGCTGCATGCCTTCAGCTTTGCATCGTTGTTGCTAGGTCTGGGTCTTAGATCTAAACACTAATTTATTAATTATCCATATTTGAAAATACCTGTAAATATGGAAATTACATTTTACTACTGACAAAACAACTGGAAAAATATATTTGGGAGCTGTTTGGTAAAAAAACATCTTGTTTCCATTGTCCTCTAGTGGTTGAGGGATTTTTTTGGTGCTGCCTGTGTATTAGTGATAGATGATTGTGTGGATCTCTGTATCTGCTAGTTTCCAAATTTCTACCTCTCCTCTGCAGTACTGGTTGCATAATCTCACTTACTCTGAGTTCAAAATGTTTCTTTTGTATATTTCTTAGCAAAAACCTTTAATTAAATTTTTCTGAAATGCTGGAAGAAATTGGAATTCACCAGGTCAAGTTTAGGTGGAGCCCTGGGTTGTACTGCATTGCATTGTAAAACATTCTTCCATTTGAGACTGAAGACTTCTCTTGCTTTTTTAAAATAAACTCATTAACTATGGCTCACAGGGCATTTTTTAACAGATGCAAGCAGTTTTCCTTTTGCCTAGTTTCAGTCTTTCATTGCTGTGTGAAAATGGAGAAGGCAGTTCTGGCATTCTGCTTCCCTTGTGCTTGGAAGTAACCATCAGACAGGGCATCCAGAAAGCAGGTAGCAAAATAATTCTAAGCAAAGGAGCACAGGTGTTTTCCTTTGCAAGTGTCTTTACCAAAGATTTGAACAATTAGAAGATAATCTTCAGTGTTCTGAGTAAATATACAACCTCTGTAATTCAGTCTCTGCTATAGTAGCACTAAGTACAGTGATAGTAGCTGTTGGGCAAGGAACTCAAGGAAGCAAAATGTCATTTGGCAGTAAATCATGGATAAAAACACTGACGTCGTCATAACCAATTTTTAAGAGCACAGTAGGGTGGAGTTTTCCCTCTAAAGCTTTTGATCTTAAGGACAAATACAGCATTAACATTTTATTTTTAACATTCCATAGCTAGCATGTTTGAATGCATGACCGTTTCTTAACTTCTTTTGTTGTTTGCAGTTTAGGAAACCATTTGATAAATATAGCAAATGCATGGGGGAATTTATCTGTTTTGTTCTTACAGTAACAAAACCTTGTAGGAGAACAGATTTTCTTGCATCCAAAAAAGCTGCAACTGTTGATCAAGATCACAAGTTTAGATGCAAGTTCTTGGACTGTTCAAAATCCTTCCGCAAAGCCAAGTTATTGTATTATCACATGAAATACTTTCATGGAGTGGAGAAGGCTTCAGAATCACAGCAGAACCCTGTAAAAAGAAATATTCAAACCAGAGCTTCTTTGGCTTCTGAAAAAGCTAATCAAGAAAGGTCAAAAAGACGACGGACCACAACTGGTTCATTGTGTAAGTATGTTGCTGATCTCTTCTTTTTTTAAAAACAGCAGTGAGCAGGACAAGGGGGAAAGAG